CCCCAAAACCCCAAAACCCCAAGGTGTTTCCCTGTTTTGAATGATAGTAGATTGTATAATATTATTTTATAAAAAAATAACGGTTATAATTTAACAGACTAATTAACTCTTACTTACTTTTTTCAAACATATGGACTCCAACCAATCCAAGTTCTTCCTAATATGTTTGGATCTCTTGATTACTCAATAAGACAATCAATAAACTCATCAACTTCTAAATATCTTCTGTTCTAAGCTAATAGTTTATATCTTATACTTGATTCCTAACCTTTTATAGCATTTAGAATCACTTTGAAGTAGGGCTTCTTTTCATGTTTTGAGTCCTGAAGTTCTTTAGCCATAATTCTCACAGGATTGAGACCATTCAGTTTGTCCTTCATTACTTCTATCTTCTTTCTTGGATACCAAGCTAATTCTTATAGTTCTTCTTCATACTCGCTTATTAAGGAATCAACCATTCCATTATCGTTATTTTCTCCATTTTTCTATCTTTACTTGGCATCTTTGACCCAATCAAGCAAAGGTTCTTTAACAAATATCTCACAAGTGTCCATGATCAAACTCTTTCTATGTTTCAAAGCATTTAAAGCATGCACCATAGTCTGTTTATAAACTCCTTCTAAAGGATGAGGAGCAATTACTCCTTCTATCTACTAAGTAAGCCTAAATGGCATCAACTCAGGAATGCCAAGTTGTATGCCTGAACCGAACGCAATACCGAAATCTATACCAAGTATCTCTCCATCACTAGTATCAATTAGGAAATTTTCTAAATGACGATCTCCAATACCAATTAAGTAAGATGCAATTGAAAATGTAGCTAATGACTTAGTAAACTGATTTTTAATTGCCAAGAATGCAGATGATGTTAAACATAAGTTCTCTAGTCCATTTCTGAGTAAATACCATGGGATCGCTTCTTTGTGCTTATTGAATCCTTCTATTACAATTTTTTCATCACATCCTAATAGGCAAATGTGCTAATCAGTGATTCCTTCCTTTTTTGCATTACCAGGAACACTAGACTTCAACCATTTTCTTCTTTCATTCAATGCCCTACTTTGGTTCAAATCCTTTCCTGCTTCATTTCTCATATGCTCTCTATTAATCAAACTTTTCATTGGTTCAGTATCATCTACCCATTCCAAAGTTCCTAATCTGTTTGTTATTGGTACTACTTTGAAAGTTTTGATGTATAAGTCTCTATTTTGACATTAGGCATCATCCTTGAAAATGCTATTGATAATCTAAAATAGCTGCTAAACTCTTTGATCAAGCCTTAAATCCTCTCCTCCTTTTATCAAAAGGTGATAATCTTTTTCATTTGATCCATGAACTGTTATTCTCTTTGGTCTTCTAATTGAGCCAAGGATTAGCAGAGTTTTCTTGACACTAGCAATCTTAACATTTTTCTCTATTAAAGGCTCTGATTTGAGTCCCTCATATTATCCTGGCAACTCAATATATTCAGATGGATTGTAAAAATCATTAAAATCCAGTGAATCAAGCCATTCACTGAAAGTTGATAGTTTCTCATAACCTTAGCCTAAATTTCCAATAGACTGATTGAGTTTATTATTCAAATTTTGAACGCTCTTTATAATCTCACTATTACTCATTTTGTCAACTCGGTTTAAATTTGAACCAAATTCTTTTGCAAAGACTTTATCCCAGAGTTCAGCAAATTTCCTATTATAGGATCCTACTTGATCACCTAAAAGATCTTTTTAGGTACAAGTTAAATCATAAGCCATCATAATAATTATGTCCTTAAGTTTTGCTTTCTGGATTCCTCTCATGTTATCATCACTAACAATATCATTTATTATCTAGAGCCAATATTTGAATCTATGCTCGGGATATACTAGACAATCAAGAGCTTCAGCCCAAGCATTAAGATTCCTAAATGTCTTTTCGTAATATTTGCTCAACTTTTGAAATAGCTAAGTTTTTTGAACATCGGAATCTAAAACATTCACTTTAACATTACTTTCAACAACTTTAAAAGGATAATAAAGAGCTTGCGGATATTTCTTTGCTATTTAAATAACCTTCTCCTCAATAACAGAAGATTCTGGACGGTTAACTACAGCAACAATCTGATTAATCCATCTACACACATTATTAAATATAAGAGATGAATTTACCTTAAAAAGTACCAAGTGGGTGTTTCTTTGGAATAGGCAATGAAATCACCTTAAACATGATCTTTATACTTGCTGGTGATATCAAGTAGCCTAGGAATGATGTCTGAAGCATTTTGATACTCGTGATTCAAGGATAATAAACCGTATTTAATGCTATCTCTAGCAACTTGCTCCTCACTTTTATTAAGCTGCTTCAATGAATTAGTAATCACATATCTGCATTAGTCATTCTCCATTTTCCTCAGGATCTTATCACTAAACTAAGCAAATTTGAAGTATGTTTTTGCCATTGTCTTCTTCATTTGATCGTCAAACTACGCTGCTGTTTGCACCTTTTTAATGACTTGATCTAATGTCTTGAAGGACCTGTCGAGGTATGTAGTACAATCTTTCTGATACCTTTGAAGATGCTTTATTTCTTTTTCTGCAGAGACACCTTGGAAGATTATATTTAGCATTTTCTTCTCGAGCTTCTGCTTCAAGAGTATGCATTTGATCTCAGTCCTTAGATCCTCTTAAAACTGCTGATCCTCTCCAAATGATTCTTGCATTTTGGAGTCAAATACCTTCACAATCTTTTGTAGTTTATCCCCTTTGTCAGCAAAGTTGAGATTCATAGTATCTACTTTGAATTGCTCACATTTAAGCTTAATGATTGGAGCAACTATTTTCATATTTTGAGAATTTTTGTCTTCATCAGCTCTTATTTTCAAGGCTCTCTTTAAGAACCTGTCACTGCTGTCAAATAATCCCATTTTGTAAGAACCTTTAGCACATTACACCTGCAATATAGCTCCGATATCAGCTAGATCCTTATGCTGCTTTAAAGAAGTAGTGAATTCATCTTTAAGTCTGAATTTGTACAAATCAATGTATAAGTTCCTTGCCGTCAATATATCATCCCAAACAACAATTGTGTCAAATGCATAGCTTGGCACTCTGGCCATCCACTTATGAATCGACTTAATGACTTAAGGTACTATGTCACTCTTAGTTTAGAGTCCCTCTTACTTTATTGATTATAAGAATTCCCTCATCTCATATATTTTCTATATTCTTTGCACTAAGAAATGCTGTGCCACTTAAGATAGCTTTGTCAAATTTTTCCATTGAGATAAAAGCTCATTAGTCTCCTTATCTAAATAGAATCTGGCTCTGTCATAGTCCTTGCAAGTAAGAGAATTGATTGCTAACTCATAATTAAAATTCTTATCCAAGTAAGCCTTTGAGACTTAATCTTTCTACCAGAACGCAATTTATTTAGTAAGGTTATTCCAATACTCATCAGTTCTAATTTGAGCTCTAATCATTTTCTCAGCATGCTTGAATGGTATCTCACTTAGCTACTTGCTATGATATTTTTCACTCATGTCTTTGGCTAGCTCATCCCATTTCAGTAGTTCAGCTTTTGAATCTAGTTGTTTATTTTCAAGCTCGCATAAGATGTGATCCTCCAAGCAATCAGTCAAGCTCTTATCATTCAATGCTTATTCTAGCACTTTAAGCCCCTTATCAATAGATCCCTTTGTTCTTAAGCAGTGAGCCTCTTTAATTAGATTGACTGTCCTTTCCTAATCTTAGCTTAGTTTCTCTTAGTCATCCTTTACTTTAAATATAATACCTTCCTCATCAGCTAAAAATGTCCATATCCCCTGTAAGGCATCATCATTTCCAATTTAATCATAGAGGTCAATGAGATTAAACCAGTATTTTCTATTCCCATCCAAAACTTTATTAAACATGAATCCTGTACCGTTCTTTTAATTTTAGCCACTGTTGTCTTGGATTTTTCTTTTTTTGTTACCCTACTTACCCATAGCTTGCTGGAATTGCTCGTCTTATATTTGTTTACCATGGATTATACTTTCCTCTAGAAGAGCCAAGGCTGTTTGGAATGACATTGAGTGCTATCCAGTTCTTTGGATAATATTTGCCTCAATTGTAAAGCCATCTGTTTTAAGCAATTCCATAGCAACTCTATGAATGCAGTTGATACACCCGTAGTCATACAATATTGACTCATTGAGAATATTCCTAACACCTTAACCAAGCAATTCTCTCTGCTGCTAATCATTTTACGATTTATAGAGCTCTGAAAAGATTTCAACAAAGACCTCTGTAGCAATTGTGAGATCACTCTTTGTGATAGCCTATAATGGCTTTAAGACATCTTCATAACTTATTTAGATATCTGGAAGCTCTCCCACTCTATATCTTCTATATAACCCAACCTAATGCTTTTGCCTTTAAATCTATCTTTAGAGATATTGCTCTCTTTGCATTTTCCTAATTTCCTCTTATTTCTGCAGATGAGCTGGCATTGAACCTTGAGGTACATATCTAATTCTTTAGCCTTACCCTTGTGATTCTTGAGGTCTGTAGACATACTGATTTTGAGCAAAGAACTTTGCGAGGTCAGCTTTTCCTTTTCTTTTTGCGACTGGGGCAATAAATCCATCATCGTCATCGGCTACCTTATCTTACGAACTCTAAGCCCCTATTCTCAAATTAACGACTTATCCTTGATTAGGCCTCTTCTTATTAAATTTGTTGATCTCATAGAAAGATGCTGATATTGAATCGGTGATTGGTGGTGAAGAACGATTATTCCCATAGAAATTTGAAGCTATCAGGCTTGATACGTCAGATTGAGTTTAAGTGAAGACAGGGACTTGAGTTGCTCTGACAAAATTTCCATCCTAGGCTTGAGTGTCTGAAATTTCTACTACTGATTGGGATCCAATTTGGGAAGCTTAAATTTAAGGTCTTCTTTGATTCCTATTAGAGTTTGATACAGTAGTATCTATCATTGTTACATCTCCTGCGATATTTTCATCTGGGTTTTCATTCTAGACTTCCTTAATTACTCCTAGTTATTGGTCTTTAGCTTGCATTTAGGATGCCTGGAATATCTGATCCATCTAGGATAAAAGGGGTGTTAGTGGTTGGGATCTATTTAGCTGATGGCCAAACTGATTAATCTCCAAAGGCTAGAATTTGCAGTCTTAAAGTGGAGCATCAAATATTTTCCTATTGAAATCTGAAGACTAAGAGCATATCTGCATGAGAAGAAATACAGAGTTATTTAGCCAGATGTTTTCCTCTTCCTAAGTATACAAATCATTCATAATTTGCAGTAGACGTTAGTTTGGATCAAGCCCCAATCTAGATGAGTCACTCCAGAAACTTATAAGTTTGTTTCTCACTACTTTAGTCTTATCGCTCAATCCCCTTATCAGAGCGCTCTTTACTAAAGGCTTGAAATTTTCAAACTGATCATAGAGATAAACCATTAAGTCATAAAATAATCCTCTCGAGTAATCATTCTTATTATGCTAGAATAATTGCTTTAATCTTGGCAAGACTCTTTGCATTAGCTTATCACCAGTATCTAAGTTTAACTTTGCTATTTAAGTAATCAAAATCAAGAATGATTGTTGGTTTTCATCAGATATATCTGCTAGGATCTCCTCAGAGTCAGCAAGCAGAGACATAGCTATTTCATTAATGTCCTCGATCTTCTTTCTTTATCGGCACACATTAATAAATCTTTCAAATGACTTTAGAATAGAAGCCCTCATACTTCCAGTTAGAGTTTTGACAAAAGACAATAACTTCATAAAGATCTTTCTATCTATGAGCAGTTCTGGGTATTCTCGAGTTATTTTCTCTATTGAATGCACAAATACATCATGCCTCTCAGTTATTTCATTATTCATCAGAGGATGAATGGATTAAGCAACCAATGAAGGCTGTTTGTTGAGTATTTTTCCTAGGGTCTCGCTTGCTGCTTGAATGATCTACTTCTTTTTGCTTTCTAAGATTTTCAGTAATGAGTTCATCAGTTTGTCTCCCAACTGATTCTCATTTTATTCTTAGAATCGAAATTCTCTTTGATTAACATTAGTCTGGCCTATGTTTTCTGGTTTCTCGATTACCAAAATGTCAAAAGAAACTGCTAAAGCAAGAATCTGAATTCCAGTCATCTTCCATAGATTTGATTCTGGTTTCTTATCATCCATGCCTATCATCATACTAATTACATCCTTATTAATAGCCACTAATTTCTTCCATCTGTGTAATAGTCCAGCAATAATCTCTATATAAGATATTAGTATGGGTTTTATGAATTACAAATATTTGTATTGAAGATCATCTTAGTTTTATCAGCTGAGTACTTGATTAAAGTATTTACAACATTTGTACACAAAAGTCTATTCTTTGTATTGTCTAAATAATTGTAAACAAAGAAAGTAAAATACCTTCAGGAATGTAATTCCAAGATATTAGTAAAGTGCAAAGGTCTCTCATGAAATAATGGAATCCTTTACCCCCATTGTTCTTGTCACATAAGTAATTAGCTATCGGTTCAAACCACTCCTTAGCATATGCCGAAAACAGTTGAGGACTATAATGTAAAAAAATTTAATAATTACTGGTTGATTAGTATTTTGAGGATAAATATCTTAAAGTTTAGATGAATATCAGGTCTTTTGATCTCTAGGCAAAGATTTTGCATGAACTTAGGCATTTCATTTGTATTTTGATCCCATTCCCTCTTAAATAGTTCGCTCATTTTATCAATACATCTCTTGATGTTTTTCATACACTCGTGCTTATTGACATTATCCAACTCCAACTAGGAAACATCTTAGATTTCAGAGTCTTCATCTGCAGCTGACTTGTCTAGCATATTTTAGTCTTAGTTGGTATTCTGTTTTTTGTTGTTCAGCAGCTTTTGAAGTTTCTCTTCCTCACTCTTAATATTTATTTTATCTGGTTGCGTTTCAAATACCATCGCAGAATTGAATTTCTCATTCTAGATATGATAAATTAATGCATAGTAAAAATTACTGCAGACATAAAGGAAGTGGTCACATACTCATTGATTAGATTATTTGCTTTTATCTGTGAAATGTCACCTCCATTTGCCTGCTCAATCTTGAACTCTATTTACTTTAGTTGAATATAGTTGAAATTAGTCTCAACTTCAAAGTTATATGCTTTCTCTTGGTCAATTAGCACATTCCAGAAGCACTCTTCGCCTTTATCTCTTAATGTTGCAAACAAGAATTAAGAAAATAAGTTCTCCTTAGTTTATGTACCCATAATAATTGCAGTGAGGCAAGTGTAGGCAGCACAAGCGTATTGTCTTTGAACTTGCAAGGGGCTATTGTATTATGGGAATTCAGATTTAATTGAATCCTTGACAAAGTTTACAAATCCATCTATAGGGGCTTTCTTTGCTAGAGTGCACAGTTAAATAAGAGACTTGGTTAATTCATTGCCTGGAGAAGATTCTCCGTATAGCTTCTTATGAACTTATTGTCTGATAGTCTCTGGCTTGAGTCTTCTAAACATTACTTCAAACACCAGAAATATCCATTTCCTATGTAAGTTAATTAATGATAAGTCGGGGAGTTATGAAATTAATACTTTTGCTTAATGAGTTAATATTATTCAAGTGGGTCTTTCTAAAGAAAGATAGATTCCTTTAGTACGATCTCTAGCTAAGGAGTAAATTCAATCATGATATCTGCTAAGAACTCTTAGCTGCAAGATTCAAGTATCTTTAAAATTATCTTTTTCATAATGGCCCATCTTAGGTTATCATCTACAGACAAATCAATCTACATTTTAGATTATTTATTAGTGCTCTTAGAAGGAATAAAATTTTACCTATCTATTCATAAATTCATCCATAAACTATGAGAATGTCTGTTTAAACTAATGAAGAGGCATTTTATTGATTGATTGCTCAATGATAATTTTGAGAGTTCTCTTCAGACTAGGCTCGTATGTTGTTTTCCATTCTCTCATACTATTGTAGATCATTCTTAATACCTACAGAATTATTACAGATCAATTCCTTACTTTCAAATTCTTTGATAAGATGAGTAAACTAAGGAATCCTTCCACTATTATGTGGAAATTATTGTAAACATTTGAATTTCTCACGAGTTCTCTTGTTTTTATTGGGAAAAATTAGGATTGCAAAGTCCTCAAGCTAAAATTTATATTATCCTTGTCATGAACGAATTCGTTCTCTCTTTGTGTTTCAAGGTTATATATCATTCCAACTAAATTTAGGACTTCTCGCTTGATGTGAACTGGGTACCTCTCTTTGAGATACTTACTGACTTTTTCGCAAAGGTGATCTATGAACTTTATTGCATAGTGATTCGATCTGTCTCTAAGCTGAACCTAACAAGCATTTGCAATAAAAGTATATATCTTGACTTTGCTGGTAGCAACTTCGAATTCTGTGAAATCTGTTCGCTCTTGTTCATTCCAATTCTCAGGTACTGACCTTAGAAGTATTTTATAGTAGTTTGGAGTTTTCTAACTCAGCTTCTCAAGGATAGGAATAAAAACTGCATATAGGCTTGGTTCATCTTTAGCTTTAATGATAAGGTATTCCCCAACATTTAGTTTAAAATGATTCCAATTCTCAGCGATGTAACTAAGTAGCAGATCGCTTGATTTCTAATATAGTAAATGTTTTTTAGTGAGCCATTCGCATAAAGTCTCATTTGGAATTTCCAATTTGGATAAGAATTTGACAAGCACTCTTGCAGATTCATTAGAAATAGGAGTGTCTATGTCAAACCAAGCTTCTACAATGGTTGGCAAACTTCTAAATGAAATCAAGTATTCTTTAATGTTTGGATCAATGGAAGCTAACTTAAGGTAGCCTAGGCACATTGACATAAGCATTTTCGGGTGATAGTTTTGGACATTATCTACAGTCATGTGATTTAGGTTGATGCATCTCATGCTTGGAACTATGTCTTTTTTTATGATTTTTGCCAGATCTAGATTTTTAATAGCAACTAGCTTTCTTAGGAGTAATTCACTCTGGTTTCTTAATTATCTCTCTAATTCCTGATCTTCAACCAAAACTTAGAGTTGATGAATCAATGGAATTACCATTATCTAAACGCAAAAGTGAATCAGATTGAAATTGCAATTCTTCTGGAAGAGATCAGCATGAGCCAAGAGTGATTCTTCATCAAGCTAATCCAAGTACCTTAGAAACTAAGTGATAAGAACCATTCTTGATTTAGTCAATATTTCTTTGTCCTCTTTACAGATTAGTAACTTATCTAAGGATTTTCTTTCATTCTTTACAAATTTTATTACTATGTGATCTGCCAAGAATGAATAGAGATTTCCCATCCAAACATTAATGTCTACGAGTTTACTCTTGATATCTGAGAATGAGGCAATCTTCCTACTTAATAAGAAGTTAAAGCATTCAATTTAAGCTGTGAGCATTTCGATTGTCTTTTACTTTTCAGAAAGCATAGTCTTTCTCACTGCTTCACTTCTAAGCCTATGATTGAGCTGATCATTTTGATCGTCATAGTTTTGCTCGATAAATGAAATTTTTGCAAACCTCTTAAAAATAGCTTTTTCCCCTCTTCTCTGCAAATAATAGCTAAATATCCATTTTACTGGGTTATCTGGCATATTCTCAATATTCGTTGGAGGAATGCATCTAACAATAGCTTCCCATAGTTTCATAGATTCTCTTCTGCAAACAGTCTCAATAGCCACAAATTTCTCAAACAAGTAAAGAATGAATGTGAACACACTCTAGTGAATCGACCTCTTTGGATTAACATTCATTAGAATAGATATCTTTCTTTGAACAACTTTAGATACCTTTTCAAGCATCATTATACAGTTATCAATTACTTCTTATGAGAACTCAATGCTGTTGTGGCACATCTTCAGAGAACCTAGTACATTGTGCGCTATTTCCATGCAAAATCTATCAATCAAGGGATCATGTTCTCTAATAACTGAAAATATCTTTGAAAAGCAAAGCACTGACGACAGTCTTTTAAAAGGATCAGGGTGGTTGGAATTACTTTCAATTCTTCTGATTAAAGATTTGATGTTGTTAGGGTTTTCTTTGATATTTTTATCAGTCATTTATTTCAAACTCCATTTCGCGAATTCAGCCACTGCATTAGAGCAAAGGTCTCTTGAGGCGCTATTATTTCTACTGGAAGCTCCATCAATTAATGCTTCTAGTAAAGACTCAACTTCAGGATGATCGTAAACTGTTGAGTTAGAGAACCATCTAACAATTTAGAATATTAGAGGCTCAAATAGTTGTCTTGATATGTTTTCCACTTCAGTTGCTAAGTGAATCATCACAGGGAATAATTTCTTGTAAATCTTAGCAAATGGTGCAACTTCCTGCTATTATTGATTACCCCTACCTTTTGGAGCACTAGCATTTTTACCAATCATATAAATTATGAGAGCATGCAAGAACTCACAAGCAGCTACTCTTGTTTCTCTATCGGATGAATTTTTTGCTAAGTCAACAACCTTCGGAAGACATGCATCAAAATAGATATCAACCTTTTTAGTATAAAGTGGTACTGTGAATTTCAATCTTTTTTCAGGATCCCATTTGATGAAATTTTCTCTCTCAATTAGTTTATTTTACTCATTGCTAATGATTGAGTGAGCATTACCTCCTATTTTACCGAGTAGATCCATTACTTTCAGAGCAATATCCTTCCTTTCAATATTGACTTCATTACCAGATTTCAGCATCTCAAGATATTAGTAAGTATCTCCACCTGTGGCATCATTTAGTTTTTTTTATTTCTTGTTATCATCCACTTGGAGGAAGTCACTTAACTTTGGAAGTATGTCATGATAAAGATCTAAAGTGACATTCATGGGAAGAAGATTAAACCATTACTCTAGCATGTTTATACTGTTCCAAGCAAGTTGATTATTGTTTCTGCCCAAATCAATAGCTTTTTGCATAATTACTTTCCAGTTTTACACATTGTCAGTTTTCTTGTCTTGTCTATACAGTATTTGAACCGGTACATGCAATAATAGATCCAAGCAGCTCGTCAGCAATTCGTCTTAGTATTCTTCTTGCTTTCCTATAAGTTCCTTAAAGAATGTTAGGAGCATGTTATAGGTATTCTATTTTTCTCCCTTCTTAGCAACACTATCAATATCATCACTAACTTCAAAGTATCTATGATTACTACAGATCTACATACAAACTTTCAGCAGCTAATATAACTTTGATATCCTAGGAGTTTAAGATGCTTTCTTAATTAAGGTGTCTGTAAACTATGGTATCCACTTTAGGAACCATTGATCTTTGCATTGGAGAAGAAACATTTCTGCGAAATTAGAAAGCCTCACTAGGAATTGTTGATCTGTGTTATTATTTGCAATATACTGAACGATGTAATCTTGATGTAGTCCTGTTAATTCCTAATTCAGTATTTGAGGATCACGACCATTATTGTTATTGTTGCTTTCATCCTAATTACCATCTTTATTGTTGTTACGACCTTTCTCAACTTTGTATGTTAAGTTGAGATCGCTAATAATTCTAATGACTCTTTGTATAAGCTCACCGTAAACGTATTGGCAAGTATACTCGGACCAAATCTTATCTTTGTTGAGCCATTCGCGCCAGAATTAGACTGCATCTTGTAAACTTTCATAGGGACTCTCTCCTCCAAAGAGTACTGCATCAGGTATTTTTAATGTTTATATTAAACTTAAATCCACAAATTTTTAAATCCAATTAGCAAAAGCCTTCTGATGTTTAGATAATGCTTTTGTAAATGATGCAAGAGCCTCATAAAATCTATCTCTATACTTTTAATATAATTTCCTGTGATGACGAACACCGATCTCGCACACCTTTAGGAAATGCTGAGTAACCTCATCAGATGGCTCAGAATCTAGGTTTTAAATAATAAATGAATAAGACTCAATAAATGACAAAAGCTATTTTTACTTCTTCAATATCTGCTTGAAGTTTTTATAATCGTTCTTAGGATCTTCTTACTGTTCAAATTCCTTAATAATCTTATTTTGGGAAAGCGTTGTCAATTTACTTAAATACTCTCTGAGTGCATCATCGCCACTCTTTGTTTTAATCGCCTTTGAAAATATTCCAACAGCCTTAATTGTCGAAATCAAAAGCACATTAGTCTGATTTGTTTCATTATTCAGAATAGTCTCGAATTCTTTCATGATTTTTCTGAAGATATCATCGTGGATACTGCTATCAATGGTAATGCCATCAGAGATCTCTTGCATGATATGAACTAGCATTTCATTAGCCGCATCTCTGGTTTCCATGTTTTCATTCACACATAGCTCTGTATTTGTTAATGAATGAAATAAACTTACTGAGAGTTAAAGCCACCAGTTCTATTGCATGACGAGTCACATGCTTCTTGAACAGATTTATGTGAGTACCCAATAACTTCATAGCTGATTTCATCACACCTTTGTGCTGCATATCTAATATCGGCTGAATAGCTGTCTTTAAGCAGACATATAGAGCATCAAGCTAATCTTAGTCTAGGGTACATTCACCTACAAGTGAATGAGTGAAACCCTTGAGCATTCCTATTATTGCTTTAATCTCGGGCTTTTCTGATTTCATTTGAGCTACCAGTTCTTGGAATCCGACGTCCTGAGATTCTACTTTGAAGTCATTTAGTTGTTCATACTTTTCATGCAGTAGGCCGATCAAAGTCCAAATGGTGCCTTTTACTGTGGCTGACGGTTTTCTAAGTTTGATTTCATCTAGCAGCATAACCATCATGTCGTTTGGCCTTATCATTTCTTCTATTTCTTTTGAGTTGAATGTCTCTATTATCTTGATCAGAAGTTGAAGACTAGATTCTTTCACCAGACTGTTATGATCACTCCTGAATGACCTTAGACATGTATCTTTAAGCAGTTTTAGATATGGCGTCGCCTCTTGAGATCTAAGTTTCAAGTAGTCAATAATAAGCTCATAGACCTTCTTCTTGACGCTAGATATCAGTTTGTCGTTGTGTAGTGAGTTTTCCCGCAAAAATTCAAGCAGACTTGAGTTCGAGTTAAAAATCTTAGAAGAAATGAAGGCTATATAGTTTAAGCAGGACTAATAAATATACCTAGGTCTGCCTCTTTCAACGATTCATCTAGGATGTAGATCCTTAGTTCGTTGACAACTTGTTCACTATCTGCAAACAAAAATTTGTGGAGCTATCTTAGCAGCTCGTCTATTTTTTGTTCCATATATATATTAAGTTTATGTTAATTATTTATAAAATTCACACACAAATTAATTTGCACTAATATTCTATTAATTTCTTGGATGGGGTTTTGGGGTTTTGGGG